GACGAGAAACCTTACGCAAAACTATCCATTATTTCATAAATTGCCCTTTAAGGTCGTAATTCCTCTCTAAAGGGAACTTTCGATATGCCCAACGTTAAAAATATCTCAGCTGTTCTTATTTGTTTGTTATTCTTTCAATTTATTACCTTCTTGAAATCAGGTGTGATTATTTTTTTGTATTACTGTATTTCTGTTTTGTTTATGTCAGCTTATCTTAACCAATGAAGTCAAACAGGGTGAAGTCTGTGGGTAACAGCTAGTTTGTTTAACTTACTAATTTCATCCTGCCACACAGCTGATACAGTTCAATCAAATTCAAAATCCATACAATATTTAGATTTGTATTTTCCTCAGATAAGGAATAGCATTTGTCGTGCCTTCACTGTTGGGTTTAAGCCCTGATGAAGGCAAAAAACAGGAAGTCTACATTCTTCATAAAAGAGAATTTGATCAAACTGTCACATTTGAGTTTTGTTTTTAAATGTTTACCATGAAACATGGAAATTCCTAATTTTCATTACATCCATTCTGTAGGGCTTGAGAAAACAAACAATTTTGTATATTGATGCATTTTTGTACAAAATACTCCTGCCGCAGCAAACCTACAGACTAACCGAATTTCCATTTGCCTGACTTGATTTTCTATTAAATCTATTTCAATACCAACTTTCCACCAACTTTAAGGGCTGCCTGTGCCCTTTAAAATAGACTTGTCTCAATTCTTAAACCTTATTGTAAAACTGCGAACTGAAGCAAATCTTTTGACACCTGAAATGTTTAAATTAAAGTAAGAACAACTCAAAAGTAAGTGCCGCATGGATTCTTTAGCTTTTATATTTGTTTATTTACAACAAAGCCTTCATTTTGATATACCTACCTACCTTCAAACATCACCTCTTATCTCTTATCTTTTCTTAACTTCAGGTTTCAACTTGAATAGTTATTTTGTGTTGAATTTCTTACTGACAGGAAACGGTTTGAATCAGTTTTGATTCGGTTCTTTACCAAGGGACGTAGAACACATCCATTAGTTTTTTTTTGTTTTTTTTTTAACTCACTAAGCCCTTTAGGTTTGTTAGCTCATAAACCCATGCTAAAAAGAACTCTATTATCATGTTGATGAGAAACCTAAGCATGGTCCAAGATTAGCTGTAGCTCACTTGGACACATACTCTATGAAAGTGAAGTTGGCTGACTCCGGTCAAACTGTCATGCTACGCAATAGTCCGTAATCTTTTCAAACTGACTAAGAAGGAATTTCCCTTAAAAGTAACCTTTGCCATGACTTTAAATAAGGTATATGGACAAACGGTAACAAAGGAAGGGTTGCACGCACCAGACTCTGTTTTTTTACCCATTCAGTTTGTGTGGCTTTGTCAAGGGTGCGCTTTTTTCAGTGAAAACTATGTTTGTGTAATTACAAAGCCACCAAAAGAAAAATCGTAAATTACCAAATTATTGCATACTTCAAAAATAGTGTTCAAATAGGTCCTGTAAACATGTAAAAATGTAAATAACTTAACAGTATATTTTGAAAAGGTTAATTAAAATGTAAACCTACATCTATTCCTGAAGTAAGAAACCATACTTTAATCAACGATGCACTTACTACGCAGAATTAACTATGTTGTGTACCTTAATAAGTGGGATTAGAGAAGGATTCAGTGTGAATGCTTCGCACAGGTCGGTTAGTCTTGTATGAAATGAAAATTTCATTTAAAAATTGTGTTTATCGACCAAAATTTTTAATAATGATCATAGTTTATCGCCAAAATGATTGTCAGCTGTTGTAATTTTGGTTGCATAATCAACATAAATTAAAGATACATCAATATGCATTAACTTTATAGCTTTCCTCTAGGTTTGTACTTTATAAAAAATATAATTCTGAAAGATTGTAACAAAAAGAGGATACAATTTTATTGCTCCATAATTCTACTTCTTACAAATATACTATTTTCTTAGTGGTGTTGCAAAAGTACAATTTACTAAATTACGTTTATGAGACAAACTACTTTTGCTATTTTTAAACAATAAAAAAATTTTTGTATATAGAAGAGGTGTGTTATTTTGGCTGTTTTGAGTAATATATTGTTATTGAATACTGTTTGAAGCCAACAACGTTAGTATGTGAAAAGTATTTACAATAACAATTGGGAAGTTTAATATAAGTTGTTGATACATGGACGCCCACAGAGGGAGGCATGGTCTTCCCTGAGATAAATAAAATAAATCAGCGTAATTGGTGAATAATCACAACCAAAATAATGTAACAAAAGGCTTACACAAGAGAAAGAGATAAAATAACTATCTGAATAAGAAACCTCAATAAGTAATAAGTTCTATTAGAAACAGTTAAATATATAGAAGCACAGTTAAACAAGTCAAGGAAAAAAATAAATGTATTTAAAACAGATTCTTTATACGTAAATCATCCTTTAAATGTAGAACAAATATTTTGACCTTTTATTTTAAATGGATCACTTTTAGTTTTAACACTTGTTTAAATTTTATACCTTGTTTTTAGTAGTTTAAAATACAGTGTGTAAATTAAGTATGGAAACAAATCTGTATTTTTAAAACCGAAATAGATAGAAATATTCTATTTGTGGCAATAATAGTTAACGAAGATTCCGCAATTTTTCACATGAAAAATATTTTTTTACCCCCCTAACAGGGTAGGTGGTAGGGGGTGACTTATTTTTTTCAAATAGCAACCCCTATTGAGTGACCCCTCATTTTGAAGGGTTTGTCAAAAGAAACACAATGACGCAAATCCGAGGTGAATATCTCACTCCTAGCTAACATGGCGGATATTCCAAAATGGGCTTTTTTTACAAAAATTAAATTTTTCATTACCCACCATTTAGGCTAGGGGTGAAATATCTACCTCGGGTTTGCGTCATTCTTTTTCTTTTAACAAACCCTTCAAAATGAGGGGTCACTCAATAGGGGTTGTTGTTGAAAAAAATAAGTCACTCCCACCCCCTACCCTGTTAAAGGGGTTGAAAAAATATTGTTAATTAAAAAAATTGCGGAACCTATGTCAACAATCAATTCCACAAACAGAATATTTCTATCTATTTCGGTTTTAAAAATACAGATTTCTTTCCATTATTTGTGAAATTGGTGCTTTTCACGTACAATAAATCAAATTTTGGAATATCCGCCATTTGGGCTAGGAGTGAGATATTCACCTCAGATTTGCGTCATTGTGTTTCTTTTGACAAACCCTTCAAAATGAGGGGTCATTCAATAGGGGTTGCTAATTGAAAAAAATAAGTTACCCCCTACCACCTACCCTGTTAGGGGGGTAAAAAAATATGTTTGATGTGAAAAATTGCGGAACCTTTGTTAACTATTATTGCCACAAATAGAATATTTCTATCTATTTCGGTTTTAAAAATACAGATTTGTTTCCATACTTAATTTACACACTGTATATGTATAAATATTGTAGAGACAAACAAGTAGCCTATATTATAAATGTTTTTTAAGAGAATTCCAACTTTTACACATATAAAAAATATGTTTTGGTACATTTTATATTAAAATTGTTAGCAGGGGCATTTTTCGGGAACCCTGGAAGAACATTCCAGTGTTCCCCTAAAAGAATTTCTGTAGGCGTCCTTGAATAGATAAACCCATCATTGTAAATTTTATCTCAGATCATATTTCTAGTTCACTATTTAAACATTGTTTAAAACCAAATACAACACCATTTATATGTAAATTGAATGATGCAGTAGGCAATGCAAGATGAAAATTATTCCAATTGAATCAAACAAATTTCAAACATAATATACATCCACATCCTATACAAGTATTTACAGCAATCAATAACCAAAGACCTGATGGAAAGAGGCTAACGGAAGACACTAGATATGCCTAGCCTAAGCAGGTATTATTTACAACTCAGGTAGCCCCACTAGCAACACTCTGCATCCTAGGTCTACAAAACTTTGTACAGTACAAGAATTCCTATCATATTTGAAAACTAAGAACACGCATGTTTTAAATGATTAGATACAATTTTAATAACCTTATAACTTTGAGGAATTGCAAGTTTGTGCTACATAGATAATATAGAAATAATTAATATTGAGGTAAGGGTCTGAAATTTAAAACTTATGATTTAAAGCCAAACCTGTTGTAAAAGATTCATAGTTTTCTTCACTTAGTATTTTGTTTTAGTGGGATAAGCGGATAGTAGCTTTACAGTCTCATGTACACTATAGACAGGATGTGACAAAGTAATTACCATAAAAGAAAGATCACATAGATTATCAAATAAATTATTACCTCAAGGCAGTTAAACAAATGATGCTGCATGACAATTTATCTTAACAATACATCAGCTAAGTCGACAAACTTGCAATTGTTTTTGGTACTAATCAACACCTATTGTTTAAACCTTTTCAATGGATTTACTACATGATCACAGTTCAGTCTTAAGAGTTATTAATTCAAAGATCCTACAGAAACATTACCAGTGAATTTACAATGAAAACCCTAGTAGGACAAATATAACCGATACATATTTTTCTAGCTATTATGTCTATAGATCAGCTAACTAGTAGCTATTTACAGACTACTATTCTCGTAAGTGGTATTTTTCAATATTTGTATATATTATTTGGCAAACTCCAAAAAGATGTTTAAATACTTTTTCTACAACATTTTCGTCCAAAGTTATGTAATTAAATGCACGATTATATTATAAAATACTGGCACATAAGAGAGTACCAACTTAGTTGTAGTAAAATTCTTTTCTTGTAGAACTAGGTACAGATTACACTGGTCTAAAAGATTCAAACCAAAGAACATGTGATTGTAAATACACACTGATATTTTAATCAATTGATTAGTTAACTCTAAGGTTAAGATTATAAATAAGTTATACATAACTAAATGTCCTAACTTTCACTGTAACAGTTATCGATTTGAACGATGTAAAAGTAACCTAAATACGATGGTAGTTTAAAAAAATAGACATGCAGTTTTACTCACAGATTTACTCAGTAATGTAAATAACAACAAAATGTATAAAGAAAATGTTAAGATAAAAAAAGTTGTAAAAAGCTGTAAGGTACTAACGATTTTTCCAAACCACGAAGAAACAAATCTTACAGTTGCTAGCTGTCCTGGTTGGATGCGTACTAACTGTCACGGTTGGGATGTTTGGCGAGGAACCGCCGAGGCCAAGGCAGCGGCCAGTCGTGGACCCGTGGTAGAGGTCCTCCCACGTTGCCTTCAAAGTACTGGAATATCCTGAACCACCAGGCTCTCGACAACAGGTTGTTGGGACTTCTGTTCTGCTCAACACACAAAACACTAAATTAGATACACCACAACTACCTATACAATTAGGGGTCTTGATCCTGGGATTAACGGGATTTCAAAACCTATATTTATATTTATTTTTTGGTGAATTTGAGGAGTTTTACTAACAAAAAATAAATAAAAATACGTCCAATAACACTAGAAACACATATACAGGGTGGTAGAAAAGTCCCGGAACAGTTAAATATATTTGTTACTAATAAAGATAAAGTAACCTTTCTGTGTACTTTCTGGAATCTTTCTCTTTCTGGAACGAATCTTTCTGGACCTCCAGAAAGCGTTCGACAGCCTTGACAGAACCATTCTAATAAACAAATTAAGACAACTCAACATCGATAACCTGGCTCTTAAATGGATTATCAGCTATTTCTCAGATCGAAACCAACAAGTCGAAATTGAACACCAACAAAAATCCTTCAAAATTAAAACAAGATCCACCCTCACAACAACAATACAAGGAATTCCCCAAGGCTCCATCCTTGGACCCCTTTTCTTCATTATTTATATAAACTCTTTCCCGGACTTTCTACCCATGGACAAGACCATCAAAATGTATGCTGATGACACCACCATTTTATCTCCAACTTCACCTCAAAATGAGAACTCAACCACTGAAGAGACCCTCAAACTGGCTACCGACATATGCTCCACATTAAACCTACAAATTAACAAATCCAAAACCATCAACGTAAATTTCTCAACAATCAACCGAACCAACACACTACCCCCTGCCAACCCAAGCAAACCAGAACCCATAGCCTCAGCCACAACAACTAAATTCCTTGGCATTACCATCGACAGCAATTTAAACTGGCATGACCACATATCCTCTCTGGACAGCAAACTCTCATCATCTCTTTTTGCAATTCGAAGAATAAGGTCCATCACCAACAAGAAAACTACCAAAATTGCCTACTTCGCCCTTTTTGAATGCCATATTAGGCTTGGCATTATCGCCTGGGGATCTGCCTCAATCACACAAATAAATAAGCTAATATCGCTCCAAGAAAAAGCCATAAGGACGATAGAATGCCTTCAACCATCAACAGACTGCAAACCCTACTTTACTTCCAACCGGATCCTAACCATCACATCCATCTATATCCTAGAAACCACCAAAATTCTCAAACTAAACCCCCCAAAAACCAGAGGAGACTGCCATAAATATAAACTTAGGAACACAGATCTAAATTTCGACATACAACAACACAGGCTAACTAAAACTAGTAAAACCCCCCAAATTGCTGGATCAAAAATTTTCAATGCCCTCCCTGATTACCTTAAACAAATAGCCAACACAACAACCTTCACAAGAAAATTAAAAGAATACCTGATTGAAAGACCATACTACACCCTAAAAGATTTCTTTGACGACCACAAACATCTCAACAAATGAACTCACCCACACACACACACATACACACACACACACACAAACACACCTACCCTAACCTCAAGATTTGACAATTCCCTGGTCTTCAAGACTACGGAGAAGAGGAACCTGTATGTATGTATGTATGTATGTAGTAATGATACTTGGTATAAAAATAATAGCTATAAATATCTACTGTTTTAAGCTATTATCACTTTTTTATGCCTTAAGGGGGACGGCCCATGAGAGGTCAGACAAAATTCTTAAATAGCAGCATAGGTTGAGTTTGGTATTTAATTAAGGTCTTAGTTAGTAGAACACATTGCTAAAAACCCGAACTCAAACGGACAATTGAGTCAAAAATGCCAGCCGTTAAACTATTTCTTGAATCTGCCATTTTGAATCTTTGAGCAGCTGTAATTTTTTACTCAGTTGTTCTATTGAGCTCAAATTTGCAGTATTGTATTCTACTACATAAGACCTTTAATTTGATGTGCATGTTGACCTTAGATGCTTAGTTAATAATTTTCTTCCGAATTATCGCGGTTGCCCCTTGATGAGGTAGCGTAGAATAGCAATGCAAATTCAATGAATCTTTTAATATCTGTCATTTTTTATTTAGTTGTCCTTTTGAGTTCGGATTTGCGGCAATGTATTCTATTAACTAAGACCTTTAATTAGATACCAAACTCGACCTATGCTGCTATTTAAGAATTTTGTCTGACCCCTCGTGGGCCATCCCCCTTAAGGCATAAACAAGTGATAATAGCTTAAAACAATAGACATTTATAGCTATTATTTATATACCAAGTATTGAAGAGTGATGTTTTTTTGAAGAGTTAAAGAGTGGCGCATTTATTGTTTCGTTTACAGCACTGTTCACTGCTAGCTGCAACTCATCCAAATTTGCGTCCCACTGGTTCTGATTTTTGTGGTAAACAATTTGGAAAATTGCTTTCAAATTCCTGAGATACCGTTCGCTTTTGTTTTGCCTAGGAACCATCGGGATTGTTAGCCGGTGAACTATTCCTTTATTGAACAAAAAGCGTTTAATCTTGCTGCTTACGAAATATTTAGCATTATCGCTTACTATTTCTTTGCATACAGAAAAATGTTTAAAAACGTTATTTTCCATCGCTTTAATTATACATAGTACATTCTCTCAGGGGACAGAGCCAAGTAAACTTGCTATAGTCATCCACAACAATCAACAAATATTTATTTAAATTTTTAGTTCTTATCAATGGAACATAGGTGTCTATGTAAAGTTTATCCATAGCATTGTTAGACACTGAAGTAACGAGAGGTCCGTTATATACTCGCCAAGGAGGTTTTCCTTGTGCACACAGCTTACAACTTTTTACTCTTTTTGTCACTTCCGGTATTAATCCAGGCCTATAAAAATACTGATTTATTTTCTTCACAGTTTTGAAAATACCTAGGTGTCCACCGATGTAAGAATCGTGAAAGTATTTAAAAACCATGTCTAGTAGCATTTCCGGTAAATAGATTTTCTCCGCACTCTTATTAGAACTCCTTGCTTCATTGAAAAATTGTCTTTAGCTTCACCATTTTTCAAACACGATAGAATGTTTCTTACTTCCTGGTCCTGTAGCTGATATTCCTTTAGCTCTTTAAAACTTAGAGGAAAATCCTTGATATTGTTGCATATATTGACTACTTTGTTCATGTCTATATCATACTGTACACTTGGCATTTTTGACTCATTTAATTTGATTTTACTTAGATCTATATTTACAATATTTTTTACATTATTTACATTAATTTCTGGTTCCATGTCATGCTTATCAAATATTCTTGATAAGAAATCTGCGATTACATTGTCTTGGCTTTTTACTAACACAATCTTAAATGGCAAAGACAAAACAGTACCGACCCAACGCCCTAGCTTACCTAATTTCTTAAAGTGACTGAGTACAAATGCTAGTGCGCTGTTATCAGTGATAAGAGTGAATTCTCTGATTTCTAACAGCTTCCTGAACTTGTTGATTGCGCAAACCATTGATAGCGCTTCCTTTTCATATATCGATAAACATTGTTTGCTATCTGAGAATGTTTTAGAATAGAATGCTATTGGGTGGTTTATGCCGTCCTGATTTTGTAAAAGGCATGCACCGCAGGCTCTGTCACTGGCGTCGCAATGTAAAATATGGTAGGTCGTAATTAGGTATAGACAAGACTGGAGGCTCAATTATGCTTTGTTTAAGCTTCTCAAAACTGATTTGACATTTTTCGTTCCAAATAAACGTTTTGTCTTTCCTCCGTAGATCAATAAACATTGACCAATAATTTGTCATGCCTAAAAATCGACTGAGAGCTTTGGCATCTGTAGGTGGCTTAAAATCTCTTATTGCTATGACTCTATCAGGATCGATTTTGATTTGGTCTTTAGATACCAAGTACCCCAAAAACTTAATTTCTTTAGATACAAAATTAGCTTTTTCCGAGTTAACAGTCAAGTTGTGGGCATTTAATCTGGTTATTACTTCTCTTAAATGAATCATGTGCTCTTCATAAGTCTTCGAGTATATAATCAAGTCATCTACAAAATTAATAACGAACTTAAATTTAATGCCTTCTAATACTTCATTCATGTAACTGCTTAGCAACGAGGAACCTAAATGTAGACCGTAGGGTATCCTACAAAATCTTAGCTGTGAAAAAGGGGTTACAAAGGCTGTGTAGTCCCTACAATCTTCGCTGAGTTTAATTTGATGGAAACTGTTGCACAAGTCGATTACGCTGAAGTATTCACTCCCTTGCAAGTAGTGGTAAATAGCATGCATGTCGCCTATAGGATAATTGACTCTTTCTATCTTCTTATTTAGCTCGGAATAGTTAACAACAAGCCTGTATTTGTCACCGTTTGGTTTTTTTACTAAAAACGTTGGACTTGCGTAACTAACTGGACAGAGGAGGTTCAACTACTCCTTGCTTAAGCAGGTCGTCTATTAAGTCCTTCATTATCTGCATTTTATGTGGGTTAAGCTGGTAAGGTCTTAAATTAACTGGGTCCTTATCTTTGAGCTTAATTGTGTACTCAAAATTTAAGGCTTTGCCTATTTTATCAGTAAACACATTAGGGAATTCTGTTATCAATTTAGTGACATCCGATAACGCTTTGTTACATCCAACTTTTATTTTACTGTCTGAAGTTTTATGAACAATCACAGACGCATTACTTGCAAACTCTAATTTACAATCCGGCTCAAACCCAAAACTATATCGGTCTTCACTTAAATTTAGCAACATTTGGCTTTTTCTTATAAAGTCTGCACCGAGTATTACATTCCAGGCTAAGCTCTTAGCTATTACAAAGTCCATATACCAAGAAAATTTATTTATCTTAATCTTCGTCCTACACCTGCCTATTATTTCAATAGCTGTATTTACTGCTGTTTTACAATCAATATCCGCATGGGTTATTTCAGTTACAATATTCTTTGTTGTTAAAGTTCTTAGCATAAACTCATTAATTAAATTTATTGAACTTCCCGTGTCAATTAATGCATTTTCCAACACTTTCTTACCAAAACTTACTTTTAATGTAGGCAAAGTACTATAACATTGTTCCTGTCTATCTACTATAGAAATTAACTCATTTTTTCACATTTTGTTTAAATTTCTTCTTTTCTACATTATTAAGAAAACGCTTCCTTCTTTTTTGGTTGAAAAACACTAGTGATGGAAAGTGGGAGAGGTCCTGATTTAATTTTGTTCTGTCAAAACGCTCCCCTGAGGCCCGTTTTTTGGAACATACTTAGTGTTAGAGCTTTGAAAATGATTTTTGTTAGCATTGTTGTTACTACTATGCTGAGCATAACAAGATTTTGCAATGTGTCCTAGCTTTCCACACGATTAACACTTCCTAGGAGTTGAGGAAAAATTCACGTTTGCACTCCTATTTTGATAAGGCGGCAACTTAACATTCTTACTTTGTCTAAAATCCTCAAAACGTACATTTTGGTCGAGAATGCACAACTTACTAAGCTCTTCAAATGTTGTAGGATTACTTGCAAAGACTGGACGACTTCTAGTTTCTGGATTCAGTCCTATTTTAATTAAATCAACCAAGTCCTTTTCAGAAAAAACATGTTTTTAACATCTCTGAATTTTGTTTAACTTCCAAAATGTACATATTTAAGGGCTCCCCATCCTTTGTGGGCAAGTCACAAGTTCTCTTTTTAGGCTCTCCCTCAGCCCCAAGGGTACAAAATAATCTAGTAGCAAAATATGCACACTTTCAAGAGATTTACCCATTTGTTTACATTCTACTAGCCTATCATACAGGGGACCGGTTGTATAACCCAAAACTGTGTCAAGGATTTGACGATAAGAAAGGTTTGATTCCTTATCTAACTTTAGCATTGTCCTGATAAAATCCAAAAGTTCTTTTACATTTAATCCATTAGTTGGCTTTAAATATTTTAACAGATTTTCTATAGGATTAGACAACTTAGCAAACATGTGTGATTCAATACTACTTGATTCTTCTTTGGACTCTACTGAGCTATTTAATTTTGACTTCTAATTCCTCTCCTTCCTCTACCGTACCGATTCACTTAATTTACGTTCGATTCCTGATTCAAGCTCCTTATCTACATCTACTTTCTTTAGGCTATTGTCACATTCTAACAGGGACTGTTTAGCTTGTTCAATTAGCTTTTTAACTTCTTCACTTACTTTAAAATTGCTCAACTTATTGACTCTTAATTTGTAATGATTTAGTTTAGCTTTACATTTTAAAAAATCAACTACTCTTTTACTCTTGATGCAATCTTCGATTTTAACTGATAAATCCGCTGTAGCTACTTCGATGGTACTAATTTCTTCGGCAACTACAATCAGTTTATTTAAGTTTATAGGGTTAGGATCTATATTTAATTTTAGAACTGATCTCAATTGTTTTCTCAATGTGTCTACGTTTGTTGAAGAATCTACTTTTACACCCCTAACTGTCAATTCATAAGTTAGTTCAGTCTTTAATAATAAATCCACATGAGACCCCATTGTTCTTCTCAATTAAAATAATCTTACTACTGTAAATAATTATCCTTCTTTACATAAAAAAAAAACAAATTAATCTTCTACATTTCTTGGGTTTTGCGGGGTATTTATTGGGTAATAATAGTTTTTTTTTTTATTTTTTACCCTAAAAACATAAAGTTTTGCAATAACTATTTTGTAGAGCTCAAAAAAAACAAATAATTTAGCAAAGTAGAGTGTTGTTATGCGTATAATGGTCAAAACTATTTATTTCATACTAAACTATTCACATTTCACTAAAACACTTAATAACCTTCCATATAGCAGCAATCCTAAGCTGTTTGCTAAACTCTTGTTATTATGTTGCTAAACTCTTGACACTTATAAAGAGACATTTTAATAAAAATCCAGGCAAATAGAAACTCACTTAGTCTGCAGGTTTGCTCTGGCGGGGGTATTTTCATATTACAGTAGACCCCCTCTTAACACTTTGGCCATGCATGCCGAGTAATCTCGTCACCACTAGCACTTTCTAGAGGTGCGACGAGTATACTCGTCAAAGCGCTGTTTACAAACTATTGTTCCAGTGTGAGATTAACTATGCCGTAAGAAGTTGTTTCACTTACCACATATTTTGCCAGTTTTATACTTCAATCCGGTATAGTTCAATTTTAGATCCAACTAATTTATCAGTGGTGGGACTGTTCCAAATTTATTGTAGTGTGGGGAGGCTTGGATTTAGTGATTTTTTTCTTAAGATGCTAAGATGCTTTTTTCTTAAGAGGCCCAGATTGTATTTCACATTACTTCAGGCTAGAGACCTAGGGGTTGCGGCATTATCACTTAGATAAAATGCATTGGTGATTTGGCAAGGATTTGAACCCGGGACCTCGAGGGGTAGTCCCAAGATTTAGTGATATGGAATAGAGTAACGATAATGACTGAAGTGTAGCACTGTGGAAGGAACTGAACCTCAAAATTGCGCTTGACCCCATTTTTACGGTATTTTTTATGGTGTATTCGGGTACTTCGCCCCTGCTTTTCCCTCAATTTGGTCATACTGAGGGCCTGCTAGCAGTTTTTTTAGTTCTATTATCTGATGGGTTCTTGTAACACTACGTCCACAACTAGCGGGATGCAGTGTGAAACTCAATTTAATCGTTTTCGTGCACTCATTCACGCAGGACATCAGCTGCTCCCGCAACCGCAGTGAACGTGTTAACCGACCTTGCACTAACTGATAATCTGATTATCCACCGTCACTCGTAAAATTTTACAGTTTGTTTTAACTGACCTTGTTTAGAGAGCAGTTCGGTTTAACCGCCGGAATTTCGGCAATTCCACTCCCATGCTTGGTGATAGAATCAATACGCTAAACTCTTCAGAATGTTACTAAGAATACATTTTTTTGTATTTATCCTAAAAAATAATTGCATATTGTTATAAATGAACATCCTGTTCATAACAAAATGGTTGCTTGTATCTTTTGAGAATAAAATCTGTACTGTATTACGATTGATCTAGAAAGTATAAATTAATATTACTGAATATATTAAAATAAGAATTTTTATTGACTCTTGCCTACGACTATAATTTATTCCACTGAAAGTATTATTAAGTTATTTGACTTTAACGTGTTTTGGGTTTATTTGTAACTCTTCTATCGTTAATAAGTTACTTAAGAAAAAAAGGAGATAGGTGTAGTTTATTTTGTAAATAGTGCTCACAAAACTTCAGGTAAATGATTATATAATTCCAAATGAATAGCACTTAACTTTTTTACGTAATTAGGGGTTGCCTGTTTTAACCGACCTTTTGAGTTGTCCAACCTAGGTTCCATTAGGGTCGGTTAAGAGGAGGTCTACTGTAATTGATTCTTCAAGAACACCAAGCAAGTAACACATATGACAGCAGTAAAAATATAACTTCTTAATAAAACAGTCAAGCAATTAATGTATACTATAGTCATTAGTCAACTCTCGCTAGCTCAAATCTGGGTAGGAAGTAAAGATTTAGATTGATTGTACCTTGAGTGATGCGTGGTTGGCGAGGGTGTGATAAATCCAGAAGATCCGAGTGGTGACCCAGTAGGCGATGATGACATCCACAGTGTAGTGGCCTCGGGCAACCAACACAAAGATTACACCAACAAACGAGGCAACAAATGAGGCCCAATGAAGCGGCCACAGCCTTTTTGGAGAGTCTGCAAAAACCGTAAGATACACTTATTTTTAGTTACTCAACAAAATGGATAAGAACGAGTAGCGGCTGGTGAGAGGGCTTTGTATATTTTAACACACAAACAAAAGCATACTATGATTCAAGTTTGTTATCGAATTGACAAAAGTATTGTACATCTTTAATTTTTAATGACAAACTCACAAATATGTAGGCAGTGGCGGCGCTTTACCTGAACAGTAGGGTGGGCCTTAGTGGGACATTGCGGGGTGGGATCATTCGGTATGGGGGGGGGGGGGGGGGGTTGTTGAAATTTTTGTTATAAATTAAATCATTTGAGGAACCTGATTGTAAGTTGGGTTCGTTAAAAAATTTTAAAGTTATTTGAGCCTCTAAATTTAATATTTCAATGATGGCAAGAATTACATTTTTTAATAATAACTGACAATTCTGAAGATTGCAGTACCGTTGATGCAGGCCTAACCCCATTTGAACTTTAACACAAACACACTTCACAATAACATCACCATCACGCCTTTAAATTTATGATCACTTAAACCGTAATATGGGTACTCTAATAAATCTGTACGAATAATATCACAAAACTTACTAAAAACAACATACACGGCGGGATGTAAACAAAGCTACACTAGCGCTCAGCACTCCCAGCGAGAATATTGAGAATCAATGTCCAGTGGGCCAGCTCAAATCGGCCCACCCTGCTCCATATACCAATGCATTGTTCCCTGATAGCAGAGACGGCTATGCTGATAGTCAAGCGCCGCCGGCTGGCGTTGCCTTGTCCTTTACGTTTTATGGTGACTAGAAGGGCCCGAAATCTGTGGCCCTCCAATGTGTTACGAGATGATTGCATTGTATTTCAACAAAAGTTATGACCCGTTGAAAGTTCAAAATTAATTTATATGGCAGTTTATTGAATAATATCAACCAAATAACATATAAAGTATTTAAAAATATACTTTACTGTTTATTTTGGGTGGGCCCAGCCTACTTGGCCCTTATGGAAGCGTCGCCACTGTAAGTAGGGTATTTGGTAGTCAGTGTCAAAAAATTTTAGGAGATTATTATGCAAAAAATTTTAAATAAAATTACGGAATTTCGATAGTTATATCCCACTCCTTTTTTTAGAAACAGCTACGATTAGATTTTTCAAAATTTCTTGGCATTGCCTATTGAATTCTCCTTTTTCAGCTTTTAGCCACTATAATGATAATTTCCATTGCTTTCAATCCGTTGCCCACGGGACTGGGACCACATGGTCAGATCAGAACCATGAAAAGGTCAGATGATCCAAGAACATATAAAATGATTGATTAAAACAGGCATTTCTTGATTGCGGAACATGATGATAATGTTACTATGATCACCGGGAACTTTCCAGATCATGCAACAATTAATTGTGGAAGGTAAAGATGATGTTTCCTTTACCGCATGAGATATTCAGGAGTTTCCACGGTCGCATAGACCCCTAACAACGATAAAGTTTCTGTGATTGCTAAAGATGATGATGATGTCCCCAAAAGTTTGGGAAAAGTTTTTTATTTGTCTGCAATTGTGGAAGACAATGATAATATCGATACATCCAAGGGGATGTATTGATTTTTAAGGGGAGTTTCAAGATTTTGCCGCGATCGCCGAAGACTGATGATTCCTTCCCGAACTGTCGGGTTTGTCTAGGATTTTTTAACTATCCTGGAAGATGATGATAATGTTTCCGTGACCGCAGGAAAAGTTCAATATTTTGCCACGATCATGGAGGATAACGATGACAGCGCAAAACGATGATGATGTTTCCGGGCGTCCCCATCTTAACTAATTGATAATTGATAATAATTGATAATTGATCAAGGCGGATAAACAAAATTTTGCCACGATTGCAAGAGACGGTAATGATCTCCATACGACCATGGCAAATAGTCACGAAATTAGGCAGAAAAATTGTTACCGATAGGTGATGGAACGGACGGATTAAGTGAGGAGTCAGACTAGCCAAGGTTGGATTAGCGGGGTTCTAGTGTATAAGAAAAAGTTTAGTTTGTTAAAGTAGAATCCATTAAAAAACCTTGTATGTGCCACAACTTGTTTAGGAAATTTTGTTATAGGCTAGATCTAAAAAAAAAATTGAATGGTATAACAAACGTCCGCATTGGTTCTGAGCAATAAAAAAAGAGTATGGAAAAATTGGCATTTAAATGGTTTATTTTCACACAACACCAGTTTATAGAGAAAAATTTGACCCAAGATTTATTGGATGGTTTTTGATAGGAAATCTTAAATCTTTGGCTGAACACGTTGGATTTGATAGTAAGGGACTAATATCTTATCTCAGCATTGTTTACTCTGCAAAACTTTGACACTAACCCCAAACTCAATGAAATGTGATCTTGCAAATGGCAATTTCTAGAAGGAGAGCATTGAAAACCTAATAACTTTTAAATGTTTAAAAGATAAATGTCTATAACAAAATGATGTCTATGTAGAGAAGCAGTCTAACAGTCTTACGACAAAGTGTAAATAAAAAATTGGCTTTTTCTAATTTAGTTAATAATTCAAAACACTGATACTTTGTTGGATACTAACATTCACTGATGATCAGGTAGCTCATGGTGAGCATGATGGTGTGGCCACTGTATATGTAGTCACCACAATAAGTGTGTTTGCCATTGATACTCAGCCCAAACCCAGAGATGAGCTGGAACACTCGCTTGGCGACTGTCATAGCACTCGTGTGGTTCTCCTGTTGACAATAACACTTGTATACTGGTGTTCCAAATCAAACTTTAGAGTTTAAAAACTAAGCAATTGTCAAAGCTAATGTTATCCAAACAGGTAATGAGTCCGAAACTTTAAACAAAATATTTTTGTAAAATCCAATACAGCAAATAGAAATTTACTTAGTATGCAGGTTTGCTGTGGCAGTTAAATTCCTGAGCATAATTAATGATGCCTCTTCTTGGCGTGCACTGCTACCAAGTTGCACAGTACACACTACAGTATTGAAAATGCCTGCCTTTTGTAAACAGTTATTTGTCATAGTCACTCTGTGAATAATTCAAGACACACCCTCACAACTGCGGTGGCATGGTTATGTTATATGACTTGAGCCCTGTGCCTGTATGACAAGCAAGCTAAGTCAGTGTGTGTGTCTCAGCTGTTGTCTCTCCAGCCTATAGGCAATACCATAAATCGAGAGTCCTTTCTCATTTAAGTCTAGTGTGTAACTTATGATGAGTTCAACTGTCTGTGGCATAGCTAGGCGGAAGAGATCTGACAGCTTGGGTACATTACTAGTCTTTTGCTCATTTTCACTACAAGTGTCTATCAACAAATTTGTCCAAAAAATAAGAGGGAATCATGATTGCCGGTAACTAGGCAGTATTAAAATACTTAATAATCCTAGGAATTTTAAGAGTTAAATGTAACATGTTTGATTTACAAAGACTTACCTTTGGTGAGCACACGTATGTCTTGCTTGACATGGGCAACACTGTGACATACATAGTGATGGAGCGCATCAGATACAACAATGACAGCATCAGACACACTCGTCTGAACACTATGAACCTGCAAAAACACATTCAAGTCAAAGCAAACCCTTAAGAACAACTGAGGAAACTGCATTTCCACTAGGTCTGCCACATACAACAGCCAAAAACAAAGTAGCCTAACCTCCAAATTTGAGCACAAGTTATGAGTTCTCATTCATTTTGCTACAGGCATGCAGCAATTGGAAATAGTTTAACAAATTGTTGAACGATTATCGTCTCTGAAGCTTAAGGCCAGTAAGATTAAGGCCAGTAAGATTAAGGCCAGTAAGATTAAGGCCAGTAAGATTAAGGAAACATTAAAGAGCCTAACAAGTTAGTCTCTAAATAGTTACCATTTTGCAGGAATTACTATGGTATGATTTGCCACTATAACTGATCCTCTCTCTTGACCACAAAATGATGGCTTGCGCCTTGCAAATACCACTGTCTTTTGTCATGATTTGATGGATTGTGTATGACAAATACAATTCTATTGTCATGATATGATCGCTTGTGCCAATGATGGCTTGTGCGTGCAAATGCCATTCGCTTATTGCACCATAGCTTGTGCTTGGAAAATATCACTCTTTTTTATCTAAAAATTAATCAATTTATTTATAAACAAAAGTAAAGATGCATTTATGTTTCAATAGGTGGGAAAACCACTTACAGTTTGCCTTCATGAACATGGTAATGAAAAACAATTGTTTCTAATTACAGTAATTTATTTTAGGAATCAGTCAGAAATGAAAACCGTTTTTAAAGAGTCCTACACTGTTCCACCAAAAATTATACTATGCATAGTTTAAATTATTAACAAACCACTGTTTATGAATTTTGCTTCTCAGAATCCAACTAATAAATATATTACGAGAGGAAGGTAGGATAGGACTTCTTTAGCATAATTACATAGTATGAATATGGTACAGTTGAACCTCTATAAGACGAATTTCAAGGGGTACGGGAAATATTCGTACAATAGAGGTATTCTTAATAAAGAGGGTCGTTTTATCGAGGTTTAATGCTGCTGTTATTCTTCTTATAGAGGTTTCTCCTTGCTCCAAGGTTTTTCCAAACAATGATTGAGGAAGGAGGAGGGATGGGTGGGGGTTTAATGTTGAGACAAGCTTCTGTTTGTTTTGAAAACTACGTACTGTGGAGGTTAAGATTATGATAAATTCGTCTTATAGAGGTCACGTTCGTCTTGTAGAGGTTTTGTGCTAAGAATATTCGTTGTATAGAGGTTAATCAGTCCTAGCCCATGTCACAAACAAATTCGTCTTATGGAGGTTTTTAACTTAATTACTACGTTGTATAGAGATGTTTTTAGCATTGACCTATATGAAAGTGTCAAGGGGATTAAAAAAAATTCGTCTTATCGAGGAATTCGTTTTAACGAGGTTCGTACAAACGAGGTTCAACTGTAGTAATGATATATGATAGATTTGTTTTGAATTATTCACACAATGAAAACTTTATGATTCTTGTTTGTAACATTAAATTAGTACAGTAACATTAAAGATAACTCTAATAGGGCATTAAAAAAATTCAACAATAGAAAGCAGACAATGAGTCATAAAGAAAATTAAGTGGGATTACCAACTTCATACTTTCATTTAACCATGAGTTTTTTACAAGTACACAAAGTTGTAATTGTAAATTGAGTTGTGCTTAACAAAACATCCTGTATGTTAAAAGTTAGTGGTACAGCATCTACCTGTGCTTGTGCATGAGGATGACTCCAGTGCTGACATTGATGGAGATCATGATAAGTATTTCAGAGACGTCGAGGGCCCAGTCTGCCGTCGGCATGTTGTCCAGGAACGTGTCGGGGAGTGGCGGATACGACCGGTCGGGCACTCTATCATGTATCAGAGCGAGGGACAGTGTGGACAATACCATGTGGAACAACAGTACCAGGATTGCTGAAACACCACAGCAATCGCCATTCTGAGTGACCAAACTACAGCTCAACAACATAAACATAGCATCAATAGAGATATGAATGTATACATTTTCTTGGACCAGAATCCTTATACAGTATACGTGAAGGCGATTTCTACGAAACACTACTCCTCTGGTAATAATGGAGAGATTTTTACAAACGACAAAGGTGATACAAAGGTACACATAATTTATTACACTGATCACCAGTACTCTATAGATGATTTAAAATACTTAAAAACAGCTGTTAATTGTTTCTGTGTTGTTTGTTTTAAATTGTTGATTGACAGATAAAAGTTTTAATTTAAAGATGGATATGCAAATCCTTCACCAGCCTCAGAGCAAAAGCTAGTCACAGTAGAGTCTTGTAGATCATCCATCCGTATGTTATCCAACAATCCACGTTATCTGGTCCTATCTGTGGCAATACTACTCTAAGATATGAACACTATCATATCCTTGCCAACAGATCAGGAATGTTTTGAGTATTGTGAAACCGTGTGCATAAAGACAATCTCTTTTACTGTACTTGTGAAATACCCATGAGGTTTTAAGGATATTCACTTCACTGTAGTGTCTCTTTGTTTGCACTGTGTAACACATATTTTCTCAACTCCTCGTAACAACACATTTCTCGCTACCATAAGTCCCTGTAAGTTAGTTAGTTATCGAGGGAACTTAGGCCTGTGGCGGATTGGCTGAATATCACTTTATCTGATATTTCACTTACAATATTTTTTTCCTTTGTCAATTATTTCGTATGTTGTTTGTGATAATGGAATCAACATGAAAGCTAGTAGTTTTAATTTAAGGAAAAAGCTTCAAATAGGTTTGTTTTGGTTGTTTTGGTTTGGTTGTTTGTTTTGGTTTGTTTATCGTTTGTACTGTACTGCTACAACTTTAATTACCTTAAGCAGGAATCACAGCATTTGAATTACCAAATACAGTAGCTCAGATAAATGGATAAACTAAATGGTTTGAAGAAATTCAAATCTCAAAAGTATATGACATTAAAAGTGTAACAGAAATTGTTAACATAAAACAATTGTAGTGGTTACCTATAAATGTTTTCATCTTCTCCTTGGGATAGCGCGGTTCCTCGCGTTGTAGAGGTGGCACCACATCTATCCTGACGACACCGTTGGAGTTGATGGTGTTGCGCTTGAGACCGTCCATCTTGTCGTCCTCGTCGTCCTGGCATGGAGTGTCGCTGGTCAGCAGAGGTTGCCGCTGGTACAAGTCACTCTGAGCCATCACCGGGCCGCCGCCTCCCCCCGTCACTACCCCTGCTGCTGCTGCTGCTGCTGCTGTCACTGGAGCTGAGCCTTCCCCCTCCCCCTCACCTTCACCGGAGAAGCTTCCGTAGTCGTTATGGCTGCCACCGCTTTTTGGATCCAAAACCATCCTGGAACAGCATCGTAACAGTCAATAGTCAATACACTATAAGTCACAGAATATGTATAAAAGTTAATCAAATAAAAACTCTAGAAGGAATTCTCTTTAATCTATTGATTGATAGTTTTCAATTAATATGCTGTTATTATATTTTTACACCTTGCATAAGTTAAGATATATACAATAATCAATGAAGGAGTAGAATGATGTTGACTGCAGCTCCAGACAATCTCCAGAGCTGGGAGCCGGCCAGCAATGCCAGCATTCTCTAATGTCTATTTTTTGCTACCTCTGAGCGACTCATTGCAGAATAATGAATTAATTGTTGCCGCTGCCTGCCAAAAATAATAGGCTGATATAAGTTTGTCATTGAGATAAAAGAGTTCTAACTAAATGTAGTTTTAATTCACGTTTAATTATTCCATTCACCACGTTTTATCCGCTCCTCCCCTTCCACAAAAAAGCAAAAACAACTTACATATTTTAGACTTAACCCTTGTCTCCATCCACCAACATCCAACATCCCTATCTTGTCCTCTCCCTCGCAATAAATTGGGGTAAAGCACAACAAAAAGCAGCAAAAACGTCCAAATGTTTGTTTTAAATTTATCTTCAAAATAGTTCAAACTTAAATTAAATTCCGAACCACTACATTTAGCCTCAAATGAAAGCCGCAGGTTTACTACAACATACATTTAACTAGTACTTCATCTCTTACTGTTGCTTTGTTTGTATGGTTAGGGTCCTTAAGAGGTTCAATGACCTATTGAAATATCTAAGAAAGTATTTAGTTTTCCTTGTAGTTTAAACTTTATTTATGTGCATCCCTAAAAAATATATTAAAATAGTTTACTGCAATAAAATCAAGTTATTGCAATACAATTGCACTATGATTGGCTTTATACTTATATATTAGAAAGATATTAGTTAAAGGAATAAATTATTCTAAAAAATTAAAAATATATAGTACTTTATACGATAAAAGGTGACATAAAAGATTTTTATTTTATTTTGATCCTGGTAAAAAGTAGGTGGCATAAAATAAAACACCAAAGACAGGTAATAACGGAAAATGCATATCTTTAAGACCCTAATATAACTAGACTTGGTTTAAACATTGTTTGAAAATATTTAATAATGAGAAAATTACAGGGACCAGTATGATACTACAGTTGTAGTAGCCTACTATATAAAACATCTGACTGTATGCCTAGACAAGGAAAGGTAACCAAACTTTATTCTGTTGATTCTGGGCGTTCTGCCATTATCTATGTTAGAACTTACAAACGTCTTTGTTTTAAGGATGTACGTATTATTATTGAAATGGGACACGTGCTTTTGCTACTTGGTTCCTTAGCAATGGCAAAATAACCATTACAAAGTAAAAAACCATCCCGCAAATGCATGGTTTTTAAGTTAGGCCTAATCTAAAACAGGTTATCTATTAAGCCAATTGCATCGGATGACATACTAGTACGTCAAGTCCGTGATGTACAGTATCATGGCTGACCGTCATCCATGAAATTAGAAAATTTTATTTTTACAAAAATTATACCATTTATAATATAAATATGATTTCAATATCAAAAATTAAGAAGATCATATATATATGTATAATAATTATGGTTGCGATTAGGGCTACTACTATATTAATAATTGGAAACATTATAACAACATTAAGTACCCTTTTAAATTCATTTTAATTAAGAAACAACATGTTTCGACACTATGGTCATAGTCATGTTTTTTTACAAATACAATAACAGATTAATGAAAAGAATAAATATAGTCATATGTTAAGTTAACTTAAAATTTAGAGGATCTTGATCTATTCTTTGTTTAATTTTGCGTATATTATATAATATTTCTGTTTTATTGCAATTGTAGGATTTTTTCGAATATCGGATTTGTTTTGTTGATGTTCATGGTGTTCAGTAAATTTTGAGGAAATCTTTTGTAATTTGTGTATATATGAAAATCTTCCTTGACATTTAATTTTGTTTTATTTCTTTCATATTCTAGAATTTCTAAATTTTCATTTATATTTTTGTATTCATGTCGAGTTTCGATAAGGTGCTCTGCAAAATTTGATTTCATTGTCGTTTTGTTACCTGATTTTAATGCTTGTATATGTTCTTGGAACCTTTTTTTAAAACTACGACTTGTTTGGCCAATGTAGGATTTATTACAGTCTGAACATTTAATTTGATGAATGCCTGATTTGTTTATATCTTTAACTTGGTTGTTATATGCTTCATTCAAAGCAACAAGAAAAACCTTCCTAAATTCTAATTTGAAAATAAGTTACAGAACTAAAAATAATGCCTTTCAGATGATAAAAAACAAAATTTCTAATGAAGCATATAACAACCAAGTTAAAGATATAAACAAATCAGGCATTTATCAAATTAAATGTTCAGACTGTAATAAATCCTACATTGGCCAAACAAGTCGTAGTTTTAAAAAAAGGTTCCAAGAACATATACAAGCATTAAAATCAGGTAACAAAACGACAATGAAATCAAATTTTGCAGAGCACCTTATCGAAACTCGACATGAATACAAAAATATAAATGAAAATTTAGAAATTCTAGAATATGAAAGAAATAAAACAAAATTAAATGTCAAGGAAGATTTTCATATATACACAAATTACAAAAGATTTCCTCAAAATTTACTGAACACCATGAACATCAACAAAACAAATCCGATATTCGAAAAAATCCTACAATTGCAATAAAACAGAAATATTATATAATATACGCAAAATTAAACAAAGAATAGATCAAGATCCTCTAAATTTTAAGTTAACTTAACATATGACTATATTTATTCTTTTCATTAATCTGTTATTGTATTTGTAAAAAAACATGACTATGACCATTGTGTCGAAACATGTTGTTTCTTAATTAAAATGAATTTAAAAGGGTACTTAATGTTGTTATAATGTTTCCAATTATTAATATATATGTATATATATTTTCATTATATACACCAATGAGGGCTACTTTAAATGTTATAAAGTAAATTAAAATACCAAAGTACCCTAAAAACATTTTATTTTACATCACTTACAAGTTTTTCGGACATTCATTAAATTTGTTCTCAAAATATTATATTTCTTGAATGATTTGAAAATTAGGTGATACAGGCAGGTATGTACCTATTTTTTGAGAAGTATAAAAATAGTGTAAATATATAAAATGCATTATTATCCTACTAATATTATAATATACTATACATTATCATTTCATTATTGTTTTCAGCTCTAAAATACTATAAAACAACATTAAAAAATGTTATGATTTTTTCAGTCAGGAATATTAAAAAAAAAAGTATAAACAATAGTGTAAACATATATCCTAAATACATATAAAATACATAATTATGAATGCATATATATTTAATATTTTTAGCTACAAAATAAAACTATAAATAATACAAACTATAAAATACCCCCGCCGCAGCAAACCTGCAGACTAAGCGAATTTCCATTAACCTGATTGGATTTACACTAAAATGCCTTCATGAAAATAGCACATTTATTTCCTATTTAAATAGAATTAGTTTAACGAGTACTTAGGTTTGCTGCAACAGGGAGGGTAAAAAAGATTTTTTGTATAAAATGATAATAGTTTAGTAAGAAATAAAAGTATTTTCCAAAATCAATCAAAATATTTTCATAAACAAGCAAACTACAACAGTTGACTTATTCTCCATAAGAATAACATGGGAATTTTAAAATTACAATTTTTTTGAATTTTCTCCGTAACAATTAAGCGCATAATAACGCTTCAATATACTAAATTATTTGTTTTTTTAAGCTCTACAAAATGGTTTAAAAAGAAATTGTGAAATTTTTTGTTTTTAGGGTCAAAAATGGGAAAACCCTATTTTTACCCCATAAAACCCCCCATAAACCCCCGTTCCCATAGTCCGATCATGCTGGTTCGCGAACTCGTTCAAGTTTATCCCGCCTTACACCTTCAAACCAAATTTTATCAAAATCGGACAAAAATTACTCAAGTTATCGTGCGGATGGACACATATATATGCTGTAAGCTCGTGGTTATTGTGAATCATGGTGACGTCATCGCCATCGACATCGTCCACCCCACCACCGCAGTTGTATACTGACTGAACAACTATAACAGTGAACCATTGATTGTTTACAGCTATGTTGATAACGTAAAATCGTCGGTATATGATGGTAAGCACCACGCTGTTTAGAAGACGTGCGCGGTGGTACCGTGTCTACTTCAACCAAACAAACGATTTTCTCTATATAGGCTACTTTTAGTGATATAATCATTTTCAAATTAAAATGTTTACACAGTGTATATGATCCCCTAGAGGCTGCTGGGTTGCTGCATTAATTTGTTTATCGCTCAGCATGAACTGGCCAACTATAGACCGGCCGCTTAGAAAGCGACCTCCTCCAGCATTGGTTTAGCATTAGCGCGCAGGTCGTTTTCTAAGCGGCCGAACTAAAGAGAAAATATTGATGTTTAAATCTGTTGTTTAATATAGTTACACATCCACTTTCAATTTCAGGAAACTATTTCATTGGACCCCTAAGTTAAAAAAATATCTTTCTTTCAAGCTATGCTAACTTATAAGGCTTCCTAGTAGAAATTATACGAGGCGCTGATGTATGTATGAAAGGGGTACTATAACACACGATTTTATTTTGAAATATTACGCTTACTTAAAAGTTTACTTAGTTGAAAAAAATTACATGTTAAAAGTTGATGGGTAAAAAAGAATTACACGAGGGTACTATATTAAAGCAAAAAACAATGTATAATGATTTCACATGATAGGCCTATGTTGTACCCTAAATACTGAACTTTTGTCAGGAATCATTACCTGCAGCTCATCATGTAAATATCACAGCAGGCAAAAATAAAATGACGGAAAACTTGTATTACATTTTGTAAGAAAGTCATCCCCTATTATCGTAAATCAGGACACAAATGATATAAATTAGTATAACACTACACAAATTAT